TCCTCGTTTTCACACATCTGCACGTGGAGGCTTGAAGTCAGTAAATGTTCAAAAAAATCAATTATTTTGTTTGCTCAGCACTCCACGCAGGATTAATTCGCCTATCAACTACCCAGTTTCCAATCACATGTTCGGAACATTTTCGAACAATATCTGCTGAGGAATTTCGTGTCCATATGAAGCAATCGTGTCTGGTTTCGTCTACTAGATTTTATTGGGGGAGAAAAATGAAAGGAATCTCCCTTACTCCCCTTTATCTTTTATTATGCAGTGGGCTTTTATTCAAAGTCGTTTTGAACGCGTGCTATGCCACGTTCCCACGGTCGAAAGGAAACGTGTCATTTAACATTCGGGTCGCATCCACATGTGCACATGCTTCATCCAATCACGTGAATGCAACTAACAAATAATTGCTCACAATATTTAATTTATTTACTAAAAAAAAACTGGTTTGCCTTGTGAGCAAATGTCGGATTTGAGCCGCTGGGCTACAGTGAAACTGGAAAAACTGCCGCCTAGTGGGCGTTTTCCAGATATTTAATTGGAAGACTTTGCCTGGGGTCTCACTAGTCCAGGTGCAATTGATTGATATGGAAAATTATCAAAAATTGTCAAACTTTCCACAAAAAATGTGAGTAATTAATTGAGCACAATTCAAAATTGACCCCAATTAATCAGTCGCTTTCCGAACAACCAGAAAGGAAAATGTATGTAGAACATAGAGCGCAAACGAATCAATCAAATTTAACACTCAAACTATCATAGTGCGCATTCTAAGCCTGGACGCGTGTTTGAGTGTATTACTTGAATGTATATAACTTGTTTGTGGAAAATAAACGAATGTAAGTTTTGAACACCAATTTATATTAGTTGCACGCACGTCATGAATTGTTTCTGAGCGAGTTCGCACTACATACATGAAAAGTGCGATAAACTATGATAACCTCGTCTTGGAAACTTGTTTGCACATAGTTTATTTATAACACATTGTTTCTTGCTGATTACGTGACGTAAGCACGTAGTCTATGCCACTGAACGTGAAACGTTTTTGAGTAATTTTCATATCTGCTTTGCACAAAGTCAAAAAAATGACTTCATTAAAAAAAAATTGGGTGATTTTCTAAGTTTTTGACGACGTTTTTCTAAGTTTTATCCCAATTTGTTTTTTGAGGACTATTCCCGATCGGTTTTCAGTATCCACTACCGCAATCAACACAAAACAGTAAAATTGTAAAATTTTACTTCTACTCAAAATGTCCCAAAAAGAATTATTTGCTATATCAAACACTCAATCATTTGCCTAAATTAAGTGTTTTGTGGGGCATTTGTTTCAAATGACCATGTGAGATCACAAAGTTCTAACTAAAGAATTAAAAACTTTTTTTTATTTCCTGATTTGATCGTGCATTCTGCCCATAAAAATGACGGTTTCCAAACCAATTTCAACTGCACTGAAACACTGCATGTTTGAATGTGCCTTATTTTTTTTCAGTTTGCTGAAAATTGTAAAAGTCGACTGATCATCAGGTCTGAAATGGAATTTTTACAAAAATATTGTTTCTGTTTTCAACTTTAATTGCTTTGCCCAACCGTTCATTTGCGTGTTTCCTGAACTCACATATGAAAGACTTTGTTCTCTATTAAAAATCGTTGCTTCGGTAATAAAGAACAAAAAGTTTTATTTGGGTATTTTTCTTTAAAACTTCTTTCTGGATACTGAGAATTTTCTGATTCTTAATGGGAATTCAGGCAGCGTTCATTTTTCCATTAATTAGAAAAATTATCGCATTCCTAATAGAAAACGCAAAACCCTGCAACTAGCTTGAAAATTTGGGGTTGTAAAGAGAGGTTCCTCGTTCTTACGAGGATGAGAACGAAATCCACAGTCTCTGAAGAATGAGAATGAGAAAATGAGAAAGAAGAAATTCTCTCCTTTCAACAACCCTAATTTTGCAGGCCAATAAAATGTTTGCTGTTAGGAAAGTGGCGATTTTCTCTTCGAACTCGCGTTAAGAATGAGTCAATATTGAGAATGCGAACACGAACGTGAATTGAGTTCATTGTTTTTTGTTTTTGCTACCGCAATAAGCGCAGAAAAGTATTTGTTGTGTCATCTTAGCTTGAAGCACCCCCGTAAAACAAAAATTGCGTTTTGATCAAATTTTTGTGATCAAAAAACTCTGAGAAAGTTTGAAAATTCTATTTTTGCTTGGAGAACAAAGCATCAGGTTGTTAGATGTACATTGTATAAACGGTTCTTTTCAACTGCTTAGTGGACATTCAAAAGACCAGACAGAAAAATGTTCGTTAATTTTATTCGGTATATAAAAATCAACACTTTGGATATTTTGTCCCAAAATTTAGGACTGTTGCAATAAGAAAATTTCCTGATTCTTAATGAAAAAAAGTCATTGGAAGCAGAGAACTTCCAAGTTCTGAATACAAGCCGGAACAAATAAAAATTTGTTTGAATTTTGCTTGGAAATTCAGTGCTATTTGAAAAAGAAATTCTACTGAATCTGAAGAGAAAACCCAAATAAAATTTTAATCCACCCTAAAATGAAACTTTTTATTGTGAACTATTTATTGTGTTTTTAACGTGAAACTTTTTATTCTAATTCAAAATTTAGGGTTCTTGCAATCAAAAAACCTCTGCATTTCTATTAGAAAACGACAAAACGTGAAAGCGAACACTGTTTACTTGTTATTGGGCTGCAAAATTCTGGGTGGTTAGAAA